TAAAATTTTCATTTAGTTTAAGTTTTCTAATATAATATTTATAGTTTTTTTTTTCAGCTTGATTTCAATTAACAAAAAAATTTTTTTTTATATTTTTTGTTCTGTTTTCAAAATTGTGCTTAAGCAATCGTAAAAAACTGTAATGCCAATAACCCTGATTTATTTCATATATATGATAAAAGCTCATTTGAAATATTAATCATAGCATATAAATAAATTATATATATATACAGTATATAATAAGTATACAAAAATTAAAAATTTTAAACAATACTAAAATTAAAAAAACAACATTTCAATATATACTTGTGTGTGTGTGTAAAATCAACAGCCAACTGCTACTTTTTTCATCACACAGTTGCACACCTTTATGATCCAGTCGCCTGTGAATTTATGAAGCTGACTTTTCCCTGGAGGTTAAAGGCAGGAATGCCCAGTCAGCAGCCCGACGAGGGAGGCACAGCGGTCTTTTTTTGGACAGGAGTCCCTCTTCCTGGCAGCGGGTGTCCCCCACCCTGAGTTCGAGGAAAAGCCCACAAAGGGATATGTTTATGGAGTTCAGTAGGTCTGGGGTGCATTGTTTGGGATACAATGCCGGGACTGTCTGGAGCCAAACCCCCAGATCAAACACAGGGTGGGCTGCCCACTGACTGGCCGGCGGCCAGACTGATAGGGACATGTCTGGGCACGCGTGCTCTAATCAGTCACCCGCCCGCCGGCCTGAGTGCCTGGGGAATAAGGAACACTGCTTGTTTAGTCTCTAGGGACGTCCAGCCCAGAGTCCAGGGTTCCAGTTTGTCCCAAGCTTTTTGTTATAACCCTTGCGTCCATTTCCTTAGTTTACTACATATGCACGAAACATGCAAATACACAACTTGAGGAACACAAAAGGATAGCAAGGTGATCGAGAAATGATTTCCAAAAATAATAGGTCCTCTGGGGCTTTGATCATAATATTTTGTCATTAATGGAACATCTCCAAAAATATATATATATTTTTTTATTTACTCACCGTTCTTTCCCAACATGGTGCTGTTCTTTTTTCTGTTGAAAACAAAAGCAGATTGCATGACAATAAAGTCAGAATTGTGACATATAAACTAGCAAGAAGAAAAGCCAGAACTGTGAGATGAGTTGCAATTACCTTTTTTATTTCTTATTCCACGGTGAAAAAAACCCAAAATTTCACGGTGTAAACTCAAAATTCAGAGAAAAAAAGTCAGAATTGTGAGACATAAACTAAGAGTTGCGAGATATAAACTCAGAATTGCAAGATAATCTCAGAATTGTGAAATAAAGTCAGAATTGCGAGATAAACTCAGAATTGTGATATATATTGTCAGAATTGCGAAATATAAAGTCAGAATGCGAGATATAAACTCAGAATTACAATATATAAACTTAGAATTGTGAGATAAAGTCAGAATTGTGAGATAAAGTCAGTATTGCGAGATATAAACTCAGAATTGTGAGATAGTTAGAATTGCCAGATAAGCTCAGAATTACAAGATATAAACTCAGAATTGTGAGATAAAGTCAGAATTGTGAGATAAAAACTCAGAATTGTGAGATAGATAAACTCAGAATTACAAGATATAAACTCAGAATTGTGAGATAAAGTCCGAATTGCAATATATGAACTCAGAATTTTAAGAATATAAGTTTAAAAATTCACAATTACTTTTTTTTTTTGTGGAGGAAATGGGCTTCCATACTTTTCCATGTAGTCTGACAGTTCATATTGTGGCATCTGTCAAGCTACAAAATGATGGGGAAAAAAACAACAACAACAACAACGTAACTATCAAAAAAGTAGAAGTAACTATCAAAAACAATCTTCTGAAGTCATATGCCTATTTTTCTGCAGTTCTCAAATCTAATTCTCTGTTCTTTGTATTCAAACTGAGAGACTAATCAAATTCCACAGAGTTAAAATCCAACTGATGTTCTTTTTGTCAGGATAAAGGTGAATATTTATTGAAAGGAGGTCAAGGAAATGGGTGAGTTCATTTGGGTGCTGTGTGCTGGGTGGAGAGAAGAAAGGTGACAGATAGTGACGGAAAACAAAAGATAAGCTCTATTGTTTTTGTTATAAACTCACTGTCTATCTATTTAGCCCACTGGCAATGACCTTCACATGTTTTTAACGGATAAAAATGGTGTTTAAATATAGTTGAAATGTAGCAAAGTCATAAAGCAATTTCCATTTACTTAATCTTTAACAATACAACTAGATGAACCCACCATTTTGTGCTTTCTAATGTGTCAGAACCCTGTAAAGCCTGTTTTTGTTGAGTATCGATACATCAGGTTTTTATGGATATTATTATAGTCTGATATAGTGAGAATATAGAGGAAAAAAACACAAACTGAGCAAAATTATACAGTATGGTGCAGATGCTGATATTCATATGTCCAAAATGTAAGATGAAATTCTGATGCTTATAATGTAAATTAATGAGATCTTTATACACTATAGCAGATACGTCACTCTATATCTCCAATAATATGTCTTAGTAAGATGAGATTGAAATGATCAAAACATAATGCAGTGCAATCCAATGATGACAGAAATGAACAAACGTTTCCCAAAAGCCTGATGATCATATTTGATCAGACTCACTGATTTTTCTAAAAAATTGATGTATGATAATCAAGCCAAAAGTGTTCATCTTGAAATATTACTAACAGTAACAAAGTTATTATTATGTGGAAATGTTCAGTAGCTTTTTTTTTTTTTTTTGTAATCAAGAGGTTTGTCTAAACAAGTATGAAAAATATTCACTCAACTAAAAAGTGTGACAACTAGCCCCGGTCTCCCCTATGATGTAATACTGTTGACATTTTCAACACTGTTTTTATTGTTTTATTCTCCCATCAGATTATCTGAAATACTTTAGATTATTGGAGAGTTCCTTTATTTTGCATTGTATTTGAGGCCTTTAAGCTCAGGAGAATTCTTGTTGCTCAATAGCAGTAGGGTGTTATTGCATATGGCAGGCGAACCACATGTCCTTCCAGATGCAGATCACCATTATACCAAGAACAATGGTTATCAAACACCGCCGTTCACTCCGAGCTGCTTTAGATGTTATGTTAGATTAGATGCCATATGCTCATTTATAGTCTAGAGGGAGCAGGCACAAAACTCGGAAGTGCTTTTGTGTGCTGCAAAAGAGAAACTTTCACTGACAGTGTAGTAGTCCGAGCAACATTGACGTGACTAAAACAAACAGAGCTATTGTGAAGTTCAATTGGCTCATTTGACATTCTGATGAAACTATTTTTGGTAAAAGGACTCAGCAATCGGAGAAAAGGGAACTACACAAAAGAGGAATTTGTGTCTGTAACATATCGTGGCACAGAAATGTTTAGGTTGACTTTTAGGTTGACTCTTCATGGGGACGTTTTTAACTAAAATACGAGTCCATAATCCATAATAACGCTTTCTCCAGTATAAAAGTGGTCTGGTCTGAATCAGGAGAGAAATCTGCACAGATCAAACAGTCCAAAACAGCAAATGTGTGGGTGGATTTTGATGTGAGAGACAACAAGAGATGGACTTTTTCACTGGAGAAAGTGTTATTATGGATTATGGACTATTTGAGCCAGAAACCACAAGCAAAAATGCATTAATGATGGATATGTTTCTTACAAACACACAGCTTTTGGCTTCTCCAGATGTTAACTGATGGACTGGAGTGGTGTGGATTACTTGTGGATTATTGTGATGTTTTTATCAGCTGTTTGGACTCTCGTTCTGACGGCACCCATTCACTGCAGAGCATCCACTGGTGAGCAAATGATGCAATGCTACATTTCTCCAAATCTGATCTCTACATCATGGTGTTACTATTGTCAAAAGTGCTATTTAAGTCAGCATCTTCATCAATTAGTCATTAGGTTTATGTGGTGAATCAGAACTTTGAATAGTTTGAAACCCTCAAGCGGAAAGTCATGAGAGAGTGAGAGCGAGAGAGAGAGAAAGAAAGAGAGAGAGAGAGAGAGAGCAGGGTAAACACGCCTCCCTCTATAAAATGTGGATGTTAGTGTGGTCACTAGATTAATTTCATCAGAAACTGGACACTGAAGCAGCAGCTCATCTATATGAAGAGAGCAAAATACTGAAGAGGACATTCTATCAGTCCAGACATTACCATACAGTGCAATAAATTCAGAATTATTTATAATGTTTTATCTGGAATCTCGCTATAAAAGTGCAAAATGGACAATGTTCTGACAGGAACTTTGTAGACGAGACGATGAAGGCTCTCAGGTATGAGATGACACACTTTCCTATCAATATCAATATATTTTAATATAACTATTACAATAAAACACCATCATGCTGATCTTATACTCATTATTTGGAGAAATTTAAATTAAGTAGCAAACAAATGAAAAGTTAAAAATTGTGTTATTTGAAGGTATTTGTATGCTATATGTATTATACTATATATATGTACTATAATACTATTTAGTATTAAGTTACTATTTGCCGTTTATGCTTTGCAACTGCATGCACTTGTCAATGTGTGAAGATTATCAACAAATAATCATGTAAACATGTATGTATATTATGTCTATGTAGAGCATTTGTCTGTATATGATTTTGTAATGATTAAATTGTGACTTAATTTGATTCATACTGTACAGTGATATCATTTAGAAACCATTTTTTATGTTAATGTAGCCTACTCTGAAAGAAATTGAAGATAGCAGTTCAAAATAATATGTTTATTGTTTGGTTTGTGACTGACTGCACTAGCATATAGATGGCCTCAAAGCTAACAGAAGTGGATTAGAAGAACAAAACAAAACTCTTGTTTTGATTCCTTCGCTCTCCTCGTCAAATTATTCAAACAAAAGCCCCGCCCCTTTCACCGCATAAATTAAGCCCCGCTCCTTCACTCGCTCATAATATTCAAACAGAAGCCCCGCCCCGTTCATGCGCTTTCACGCCTAATTAACATAACAGCCTCGCTTCCACACTCCCTTCATTACTTTATTTAAATTATCGACCCGCCTCTTTCACGCCTTCATCCCTCAACCTTCACAACCGACCTCATTCAGTGCCTGTAACTGTCCACACAGTCCGAGGCTCAGTGGATTAACACGGATATATGGCTCAAAACATTAAGGTTACCTCTCCTATCGGTGCTTTTATTGTCTTGTAAAAATTCCGCCGAAAAAGAGAAGACGTTTTACCTCAAATGCCGGCGATTTCTCCCGTGTAAGTAGCTCTGGTTCATAAGCTAACATGTATCTGTTAGCCTCTTGTTTATATTTGTAAATATTCGTGTTGTTTATGAACACTTGACTGCTTTCGGTCTGAATGAACTCGTTATGATTTAATGTTATTAAGATAAAGAGCGTTTGACTTGAATAAGTTAGCTGCCAGTTGGCTGAGTGACGGTTAGCAATAAATTATCGCGAATGTCGGTTGTGAAATAATCACAAATAAACACTAACGATGTCATTATTGATTAATAAATCAAGGAGTTTTTGTTAATCGCTAGAAAAAAAAAACATATGAGAAATTTGTATTATATCGCCGAAAAAGACTTGTGGAATTGGCGCTTGTTCCGGGTGTCTAATATCGATATTCATTGTATAAATTACTTTTGTATATGTACGTATTTAAATATATGAAAATATATATTTCTCAGCCCTATCCATCACACAAAATTTACTTTGAAAAAGTTTTTCTGTATGTCCATCCATACAGCTTATAAACGTCAATTAATGTTTTTTTTCCCTGAGATGTAATATTCTCTTTTTGTTTATCTGATTTTTTCTTTATATAATATATATGTAATTTTATTTGTTTATATATGTGTGTGTGTGTATAAGTTTTGTATTATATCGCCGAAAAAGACTTGTGGAATTGGCGCTTGTTCCGGGTGTCTAATATCGATATTCATTGTATAAATTACTTTTGTATATGTACGTATTTAAATATATGAAAATATATATTTCTCAGCCCTATCCATCACACAAAATTTACTTTGAAAAAGTTTTTCTGTATGTCCATCCATACAGCTTATAAACGTCAATTAATGTCTTTTTCCCGAGATGTAATATTCTCTTTTTGTTCATCTTATTTTTTCTTTATGTAATATATATGTATTTTTTATTTGTTTATATATGTGTGTGTGTGTGTATAATCTATTTAAATATAATATATATTTTATTATATTTAAATTATGCTAAATGTATAAAATATTATATTTAAAATACCTAAAAATATAAAATAAACTAGGAATAAAAATGCATTTTATGTAGGGCTGTGCAATTAATCGTACCGGCTTTACTGACGAGATGCGCATGACAATCAATTGCACAGCCCTAATTTTATGTATATAGTATTTTTTTTATTTCTACTTTTATATACTTTAACAGTGACGCTGATTGTTCTGCTCCAGGTATATATTCTTTGACGCGCCTCATTTATGATATATATTTTATTTTGCAGGTGTATGTGAACTACGAGAACAGCTTAGGGGCTTCTGTCTACCGTGAGCAGTTCAATTTCAACGCGGAGCCCCCTTGGGATCCTAGCTGATAGCTGGAGAGGTCGACCTCTGACCTATTCCTGTAGGTTCACATAGCTGTAACCTCACTTCCGGTGTGCTACTGTATACTTACATGAAGCTTCGAGTGCGACCGGAAGTCCTCATTTTAGTCATACTGCCCACCCTGACTAAGCAGTTTCGGTCTGTAGCTGTTTTTAAACCTGCTTTGAGAATGGATTGCCAAGGTCAGTGGAAGTTGGCGACTCTTCTGACCTGATATATATAAATAATGTGTGGAGAGGATGCTATCAGAATGTTATTAGTGTGTATATGTAAATAAAACTTCTCTATATATTTAAATACATGACTGACAAGCTTGTGTGTAATAATTGCTCATGCCCTATCATTCACATAAGCTTGCATTTATTTATTTTGTTTTTGGTCTGTCTTGTGTTTGCAGTGGATATCGCTAGGACCCAAGAGCTCTGAGGCTTCTCATAAATAGGTGACCTGCTTTATGCCAGTCAGAACATCAGATTACGGATGAGAATGAAGGGATTTCTGGATGAACCACGCTTTTCTGTTGAGCTGCTGGAAGGAAGCGCAGCTCTCCGAGGTTTGATCGATAAACACATCCATGATCAAACTCTTGTAAGTATAAAAAGGGAATTCTGCTTTGTTTTCGATTATTGTGCCTTTTCTCTTCATCCCAAAGCATGTTGTATGTTGTTTTTTCTTTAGGCACTGAAGAGTGCATTTTTTGTGGCTGACTTGGGGGTGATTGTGCGGCAGCAAGTTCGCTGGAGAACTAAAATGGACCCGATTCAGCCTTTCTACACGGTCAAGAGCAACAGCAGCCCTGTGGTTGTTGAAATCCTGGCTGCTCTTGGAACTGGCTTTGTTTGTTCAAACAAGGTGAATATAAAGTATAAAATATGTCTCATCTCCTCTCACTAAAACTAGATTACTCGGTGTCCTAAAATAGCATTCCGGTTCTGTCTTAAAGCTATTTTTAAAATATATTATTACTTTTATTAGTTGCTTTCTGTGTGTCATCTGTTTTGGCTCCTTTGCTTGTCTTTCAGCATGAGCTGGACTTAGTGAAGGGCTTTGGCGTCCCGTCTCAGGACATCATTCTCGGCGGCACGTGTAAACAGCTCTCTCATATCAAATACGCAGCCAAACACAACATCTCCCTCCTGGTTTGTGATAATGAGGCAGAGCTGCGGAAGATTGCACGATGTCATCCCAAAACAAAGTGAGTGATGTGGTCACACTGCACTTACGAGGCTCATCACAATACAAACATCTGCAGTGAAACGTCACAGTTCTCTGTTTAGTAGGGGTGGGAATATTTAGAAACCTCACAATCCGATTCTAAAACGTTCCTTGATTTACATGTTTGTTGGTTTGTTTGTTTTATAATAGGTGTACTAACATCGAATATTAATTTTGTGTGTTAAAATTTGTTAATTTACTTATATAAGTTCTAAAGTACTTTTTAAAAAATTATAAATTAATGATAAATCAAACCAATTGTACACAAAGCTTAGTTCCGCCATGAAATTAAAAAAAGTATTTTCGACTTCTGACATTTTTTTTCTCACAATTCTGACTTTTCCACAATTCTAAAAAAAAAAAAAAAAAACGACTCAACTGTGAGATAAAAAGTTGCAATTACCTTTTAAATTTTTTTGTTTATATCTTGCCATTCTGACTTTTTTTCTTAGAATTGCAAGAAAAAAAGTCAGAACAGGGTTCCCACGCGTCCTAATTTATATATATTATATATTACTTTATGGCGTGATCCTTGTCTTTTATTCCCGCTGTAATTAAATAGAAAATGTCCTGGAAAAGTCCTCGAAGTCCTGGAAAATGATCACTGAAAATGAGTGGGAACTCTGCAGAATTGTGAGAAAAAGTCGACAACAAAGAACCGTAAACATGCAAATTATTCAAATATTGAGAAAAAAAACAAAAAAAAACAATTGTCTTTTTTTTTGCCATTCTGAAAAAAAAAAAAGTCTTTAATTGTGAGAGAAAAAGTGGCAATTAAATTTTTTTTTTATTACTTAAAAATAAAAAAGCTTGCCACTGTTCTCACAATTCTGACTCCTTTTCTTACAGTTGCGAGTGTCTCACAATTCTCTCTCTCTCTCTCTCTCGCTCTTTTTTTATTTTTGCTCAGAATTGCAGTTTGTCTAGAATTATATCTGGCATGTGTAGAATTGCAAGGAAAAAAGTCAGAATTGTCAGATTAAAAAGTCTCAATTGCCTTTATTTTATTCTTTGGTGGAAATAAGCTTCAATAATTGTATGTTAAGCATTAATAACAAACTAAATACAGCTTCAAAACATACAAGCAAATATAAAGCAATAAAGAAACACATTATACTATCTAAAAGTTGTCCAGACAAGGGCAGTCAGTGAGGGTTTTTTTCTATGTTATTGCTGTTTGATTATTACTGATGGTGTAATCGACAGCGGCAGCTCTGATAGGCTGCATTCGCACTAATGCATTGGATTTTTTTAATACTAACCCTCATCTTTTTGAACTGGTTTTCTGTAATAGGGTGTTGCTGCTGTTGACATCGGAGAGCTGTTGCGAGCGTGAGGAGACGGCCATACCGTTCGGCTCCACGCTGAAGGACTGCAGACATCTGCTGGAGAGTGCCAGAGAGCTCAGCCTGCACATTACAGGAGTCAAGTGAGTCTCGCTTGAGTTTTGAGAGAATTCTCAATACGACTGGAGTCATTTATGAATTACATTAGCCTCAAAAAGTGTTTGGACATGTCACCATTTCTAATGTCTTTGTAGGGGTGTGTGATATGTATTGTTTTAACAATGTGGAGGCTGACATTATAGAGTATGTCTCTGATTTTACAAAAAAAACAAAAAAACAGGCCTTGAGAGTACAGCCGTTCAGTAAACAAGAAGATAATATTGTTTTTACTCTGTTTTTCCAACGAAAATAGTCCCAAACAAAGCAGCAATGAATCAGTGATTCATTCGTTAAGACAGACCAATGAATGAATTAGCCTTTGAGCAAATTGGTTTAGTAAATGACTCAATGACTTGTTAAGACACAGATACAGATTTACACAGATACACACAGGAGCGTTTGAAAGCTGCGTCTGTCAGCAGATCCTTAAAGGCAGAGTAAGTGATTTCTGGTAGCCAATGTTGATATTTGAAATCACCAAAACAAACACGCACCTACCCCAAAAGGGTCTTGCCCCTATTTTGATAGCTCCGCCCCACATATACGTACGCAACCCAGGCAACGATTAGTTCTGTGAAACAAAGCAAAACCAATGTTATATCGTGTCTATGGACGTGAGCGGCGCGGCTCAACAAATCCCCGACAGAAAACTGCTGCCGGGTTCTATTTATGACGTGCTGACACAAATTTCAAATGGTTTTCATCGGTCGTTTGATCGCGTCCAGTGTAGGCAGACTTTAGCTGTTGTAGACACGGTGTTACTCACCTATTGAGAAGAAACAAAAGCAACCTCGGCGTCCGATCGCAGGCCTCCGCTCCTTGAGTTCTCTCCAGCGCTGGAAAGCTGATCCGATATTTACACGGGTCCTACTTCTTGCCTTATCGTTCCGCAGACGTTTTCCTCTTTTGTTTTTTATCCGCCATCTCTATCTTTCTGTCGCTCGGCTCGGCTAATGTCCGTCCCATGCACTGAAAGCTCTCTCCTCCACATCACGAGTAGACACGCCCCTTATTGCTGATTGGCTACAAGTTTGTTTTGCGATTCGGCCCGAATCAGTTTTCTAAAGTGTTTTTGAAAAATCACTTACTCTGCCTTTAATATATCTGCTCATACACGGATCCGCTGATTCAATATTATATCTTCAGTATTAAATTTTTTAACAATCTAATTCGTACTGTTTTATGATTACAAAATTTTAATTTACTGCGTTTTCTAGTACAAAAGATAATATTATGATCACTAATAGCATATTCAATTACTCCTTTCTGGGAAATATACTTTACATCCGATACCAAAATAAGATCAATGGTACTTTCCCAACCTTCCCAAACTCTGGTAGATTTCTTTATAATTTGGGTTAAATGGAATAATTTACATAATGACTGCAGAGCGTTGAAATTGTCCCCTATTCTTTTAGATATATTTGTGTTAAAATCCCCCATAATAATACATTATTTTGTCAGATCGTCATTATAATTTTTTAAAACATACTCAAGACCCTCATAAAAATTGTTTTGACTGGGTGGAGGATAACATACTCCAAACAGCATTGGTTTAGTTGCAGGCAACAATAAATCCATAAACAATAACTCTTGCTCAACATTAATATCTAACGCATTAAAATTAATATCCGATCTAATAAAAATACAAACACCTCATTGTCTTTTACAATCCATCCTAATAACATTATAATTGTCTGTTCTAATTTCATTATTAGTTACTGACGAATCTAACCATGTTTCTAAATCCCCGCTTTACAATTCTTAAGTAAGCACCTTATTTCATCGATCTTAGGTAATAAACTTCTTACATTTAAATGCACGAAATGTAAACCTTTTACGGTAAAATAGTCCTCAAACAAAGGTAGGATATGTTATTAGCCATGCTGTTAATATTTGGATCCATATCACTACATGACTAGGGCTGGGTATCGATTCAGATGTCCCGATTCGATTCGATTCTCTATTTTTTTTTATTACATTCAGTGAATATAGTTTTAATACAAATGCTATTGATATTTCTAAAAAATGAACAGTAAATATCAGTTTACAAATGGTGAATTAATAAAAAGAAATTAAGAACCACATGCCTGTATTTTAAACCTATTCTTTTTTTTGTATAGGGTCCTTTTTTAAACAATAATAGGGCCCTATAGTATGGCCATGATAAGCGCTGAATGAATGACAGGCTTTCTGTTATAACATCGCGCAAGGTAAATAAGGGTGACATCTAGTGGAGAAGACTAATGATAAGATTCATGTTAATCAGATCTTGTTTTAAATGTGTGCTGAAATAAATACTGGAAAAGATCGATTCGCGGCTTTTGAGAATCGATATCGAATCGATGTCATTTTAAAAAAAACGATTAATCGGAAAATCGATTTTTTTTTTGCCCAGCCCTAGACATGACGCTTGTACCTGAGTTACGTTCAGCCAAGTACGATCCGGAATCCAAAACTTGACCTTTGTTAAAACCAGGACAAACTTCCCAATTAGGACCTGGACATGGGTGAATGTCTCCTGACAATAACAGGCGTAGGATGATAATGAATTTTCCGGCGCTGGAGTGGTGTTTTGAGATGGAGGGCCTGGACGAGTGCAGATAAATAATATTCCGCCCGTAACTATATGACATCACGTCGCATCGTTCTTCAGATAAAACATTAAAATACTGCTTATTATCAGAAAATGCTTCGCTTGATGGACACAAATTCCAAACAATAATAAACAGCGAAGCCAAAATCATAATGCCGTGCCATCTATAATTACATATATATATTATATAGTTTCCTATGTCATTGCATTAGACATTAAAGCTAGTGTGTAAACAAATGATGATGGAGCTTTTCTCAGAATGAACTTTATTTTTCACTAGGACAGGCTCTAATGAGTCATGCTCAGTTACGCCAAGGACATTTATAAAGAAGTAAATGAGGTATGTTTTGATTTCATGCTTTGCTCACAGATTCAACATTCCCAGTTGTTGTCAGGATGCACAAGCATTCTCTCGTGCTGTTTCTGACGCCCGCTGTGTCTTTGATATGGGGGTGAGTCATCGCTCATGCAGTCATGGATCGAATTCTGATCTGATTGTGCCATGAGCTTCCCTACTGAACCCAGAGGGAATGATCTTTATTTATCTAAATGTCACTTTCACTATTTATTTCCCCCTCGGAAACGTGTTCTAAATGAATCTGATCTTAGGAGGAGCTTGGCTTTGAGATGAATATTCTGGACGTCGGAGGCGGCTTTGATGGAAGTGAGGCGCAGTTAGACAAGGTACTGTATTCTGCTGTGCTTTTGTAAGCTATTTCTTGTATTTATGTGTTTTTTTCCCCGCTGAGCTTCTAGTGTTGTTTTTGTATGCAGGTTAACCAGATGCTGAAACCCATGCTGGACATGTATTTTCCTCTCTCGACCGGCTTGTCGCTCATCGCTGAACCCGGAGTTTATTATGTGTCATCTGCCTTCACGCTGGCCATGAATATAATCGCTAAGAAAAACGTGGCTCGTGATTTCAGTGGTCAACCACACAGTGAGTACTAGTCAATATTTATATCAGATATTCATGATATACCGTGGGTTTTATTTTGCTGGAGATACATTTGGATAAATATTGAATCATCAAAAGGGTAAATAAATGTATGGTGACACTTTTATTTTTTTTGCGTTTTACGTTATGTGTACACTATAGTGATAACAGTCAATGATGCATAATTACAACCAACTAACCCTAAACTAAACTAACCCTATTGTAAGTACATGTTGGTAAAGTATTATATATATTAATTAATTACAATTATATATATTATAAAAATATCATGTTAAATTTTATATATATATATATATAAAATTTTTTATATTTTTTATATATATTTTCATTTATATTTAAAAATACTTGTAACATATTATATTACAATTTTATTTTGCAGTATCGCCCAACCTTAATGTAAATATTAAATAAAATCCCACTGCATGTCTCATAGGTGATACACTGATCATAATGTGTTTATTAAACTCATGTTTTTGTTTTTCAGATGCACTGTCTGCAAATGATGAGCCTGAGTTTCTCTACTACATGAACGATGGGGTTTATGGGACTTTTGCCAATAAGCTGCTTTGTGAAGATTCAGTATCAATGCCTTCGGCACACAAGGTAAATATTTCTCTCTTTCTCTTAAATTTAATGTGACATTGATCCAATGCATAAACATCAGCAAACATTTAAAGATAATTTTTTGTGTCTGCACCTCCATGAAAAGACATTTAAAAAAACATTTCATACATGCAATGGCTTTAAATACAACATACATCTGAGCATTTTTTTGGCCTCTGAATAAAAGCACTCTGTAAGACATGTTTCTACGATTATGTAGGGCTGGACAATAATTCAATATCAGTATGTATCGGGATATAATTTTTTTCAATAACGGTGATATGATTTTTAAACACATTTCCGATATTTCGATATACATTACCAGTTTCCCATACATTGATTTATTTGTGCCGTTTGACTTCGTTGAATATTTCAGATAAATAGTGTTCATATCGATATCAGAATTATATCGTACCGACCGAAATTAAGAAATATATCGTGGTATCAATTTTGGCCATGTCGTCCAGCCCTACGATTATGTGTCAATAATTTTTTTTCATTCGTCAAAAAAATACGAATTTCGAATATTCGTCGAATAAAAAAAAAAAATCCACATTTG